CCCTCTCTCTGTGGCCCTGATCCACAGCCCGCTAGGCAGTCAGTGCTGGGTCAGGGCGCCCACAGCTGCCCCAGGTCTGATCGAGCCTTTGGTCATTAAGACCCTGGCTCTTTATTATATAGACTAGAGGCCTGGTGAACAAAAATTTGTGCACTCGAGGGGGAAGGGGGGGCCTCAGCCTGGCCTGTGCCCTCTCGCAGTCTGGGACCCCTCGGGAGATAACGACCTGCTGGCTTAGGTCTGCTCCCGGGTGGCAGAGGGCAGGCCCAATCCCTAGGTGCAGCCCCTGGTCGGTGTCGTGTGTGTGTGTGTGTGTGTGTGTGTGTGTCTCTCTCCCCCCACTGGGGGCCTGCCCCCAGCCACACCATGGAGGCTTGGAGCAGGAGCCCCTCTGTGTTGATCTCTCAGGCTCCTGGCATCCATTGTATGTTGTACTCTCCCTTCCAGGATGGGGGTGCTGCTTGCAAGCTGGGCTTTCCTGCTCCCGGATGACCATGGCAACTGGGAAGCAGGCAATGTTTGGGGCTGCCTGCAGACCAGGCTTGCTTTCATGCTCCTGGATCCTCATGGCGACCGGGGAGAAGGCGCAGCTGGGGGCTGCCCGCAGGCCAGGCTTGCGTTCCTGCTCCCGGATCAGGCCCAGGTGGGGGCTGCCCTCAGGCTGGGCTTGCTTTCTTGCTCCTGGATCAGGCGCAGCTGGGGGCTGCCTACAGGCCGCACTTTTCTACTTACTTATGGCCAGATCACCACAGCGACCCAGGGCCCAGCGGCACTTTCCTGCTCTCTAATAGTCATAGGGTCCCGGCTGGGGGCGAGGCTTAGCAGTGCGGGGCTTAGGCGGCAAGGGGATCCCGGCTGGGGGCTCAGGGGGCACACAGAGGTCCCGGCTGGGGGACGGGGCTTATGCCCCGCTGCCCAGGGCTGCACATGGGGCCCGGATGGCAGCTTGCGCTGTCCCGCCCTGCCTGTAGTATAGGATAGAGGCCTGGTGCACGGGTGGGGGCCGGCTGGTTTGCCCTGAAAGTGTCCCGGATCAGGGTGGGGGTCCCACTTGGGTGCCTGGCCAGCCTGGATGACGGGCTGAAGGCTGTTTGCAGCTGGTCACACCCCCTTCCCGGTGGGGGTTCCCACTGGGGTGCCTGGCCAGTCTGGGTGAGGGCCTGAGAGCCGTTTTCAGTCTGGAGGGCAACTTAAGCTCCCCGCCTCTCCTTTTTTTTTTTTTCTTTTTTTATTCTGGGATTTATTTACCTTCTATAGCTGTCACTGGACCTGAGAACCGGCTCCAGCTCTGAGGGCTAAAAGCATCTTTCTGAGTCTGTTTGGCTTCTATAATTGAAACTCTGTTGCCATCACAGCAGCTCTAAGCTCTGAGGCCGAAGCTGGCTGAAAGCAGGTCTCTGGAGCTTGTTTAGCTTCTATAATTGCAACATAGTTGCTTAGAGTGCAGCTCAGAGGCTGGCCGCGGCAGGCCGGGAACGTTGGCTTCCTCCGTCACTGGAGCAAGCAAGCCTCCTTCTCACTTCAGCTGTGTGGCTGCCGGCCGCCATCTTGGTTGGCAGTTAATTTGCATATCCTGCTGATTAGCCAATGGGAAGGGTGTCAGGGGGTTATGGTTAATTTGCATGTTTCTCTTTTATTAAATAGGATGATTTACTTTAAGTGTGTTAAATTGGACACTCTATAAACTCTAAGATTTAAAACCTCAGACTTATTTTACTTTATCATTTTCTTTAGGAAAGACTGTTCAAATGTGATAAAATACAACTTTGTCAGTTATAGTAGTGGTAATACTATAATTTATGTAATTCATGTAATACAATAACATGGATTGATACAATTTTTAAAGTGTTCTACTTTTTTAATTAAAAAATGTTTTTATTGACTTTAGAGAGAAAGGAAGGTAGATAGAGAGATAGACACATTGATTGGCTGCCTCTTGCACACACCACCCCCTCCTCACCCCCCACTGGGGATTGAACCCCCAACTCGGGTATGTGCCCTGACCAGGAATCAAACCGGTGACCTTTTGGTGCATGGGATGACACTCAACCAACTGAGCCACAGCAGCCAGGGCCCTAGTAATTCTTTTTTTTTTTTTTAGTTTTTGTTTTGTTTTGTTTTTTTTCCCTTCCTCCCTCCCTTCCTCTTTTCCTCCCTCCCTCTCTCCCTCCCTTCCTTCCTTCCTTCCTTTCTCAAGTAATTCTTATATTAATGTTTCATCAAAGTTTTGGTGTATTAAACATGCCAAGTACTGAGTTATCTTGTATATCTTTTGCCTCATGTAGCTCTAATATAGAATTTAGTTTTAGTATTAATTTTATGCCATTAAATGTATAGTCTATCTAAATATAACTAAGTGACTCATATAGCTTTTTAAAAATATTAATACATAAAATAAGTTTTGCTTTCATTAAATGTATCTTAACAGCCCTAACTGGTTTGGCTCAGTGAATAGAGTGTCAGCCTGTGGACTGAAAGGTCCCAGGTTCGATTCCGGTCAAGGGCATGTACCTTGGTTGCGGACACATCCCCAGTAGGAGGTGTGCAAGAGGCAGCTGATCGATGTTTCTCTCTCATCGATGTTTCTAACTCTCCCTACCTCTCTGTAAAAGATTAATAAAGTATATTTTTTAAAAAATTTATTTTAACAGATATTATGCTGTATAAAGCTCGCTGTATATTGAGGGGTTTTGGTAGTTGATGTAAAAAGATACTTTAATGTATTAACAAGCTTGATGTTTCTCCCCTTATAAATGCTATGATTTAATTATAAAGATACATGGCTGAAGGGTTGTTAATTATAGTAGTCATATGAATTCACTACCACTACAAGCTATTGTTATTTAATAGTATTTTTAAATAATTGACATTATTGAATTTTTAGCTCAATTTCTAAAAGGTAGTTGTTTATAAATTAGATGATTATATGATATTAGTATTTCTAAAGGTATTTTAAAGCACCAGTTTAAAATCAAACAATACCTGCTGGGGAGCCAGAGAACTATTTATGCTCTGGCAGATGTAGTGTTTGGAATTAACAGCCTTTATTTGAAGGATCCAAAGGTAGTTCCTGCGGTATTTAAAATGTAGCATTCAATAACTACCATATATTTTTACTTTGCTCAGAAAGTGATTACAGTTCAGTTAGTGAGACAAAGCATTTATTTTAAAAATCAATTTCATCTTTGGGACTACTTTCTGACTAGTGGAAATTTGTGTCTAATCTAGCATAAGGTGGTATGAGTGTTTTTTTCCTCCGGTTTCATCCCCTTTTGACCCAGGCCAATATTGGAATTTCAAGGAAGTCAGATTGCCTGCAATTAAAAGATCATCTAAGAACAGAACCTATACACTGTTATGGTACTAGAAGTTCACAGACTTTCTTGATCTGGGGTCTTCTCAAGTATCTTCCCTTACTGTTTTACATTTCTGCATCTACACGATCTTTTCATCACCGTTTAAACATGCTGTAGTCTCTCTCATCTGTAACACAGTGTTGGACTCTACACTGTCAAATAGCTATTATCGCCAAAACCGGTTTGGCTCAGTGGATAGAGCGTCGGCCTGCGGACTGAAAGGTCCCGGGTTCGATTCCGGTCAGGGGCATGTACCTGGGTTGCGGGCACATCCCCAGTAGGAGATGTGCAGGAGGCAGCTGATTGATGTTTCTCTCTCATTGATGTTTCTAAGTCTCTATCTCTCTCCCTTCCTCGCTGTAAAAAATTAATAAAATATATATTAAAAAAATAGCTATTACCTATTTACAGCCAAATAGCATTAAACACTTTACTCATAGTCTTTACTTTTTCACCTCTCAGTTATTCTACAGCTGACTCCCGTCTCTTTTACATCCCTTTTGTTCTAAGGAAACAGCTCTCAAACTTCCGAATTGGTAAATCCAATGGATTTTTTTGTTCTTAGAACCTTAATTTACTTAGAACCGTTAGCAATTCAGCCTGCCTGGAAATTTTTCTTCTTTTGGCTTTGGGTATGCCATTTTCTCCTGGTATTTTCCTACCTCTGACAATTTCTTCAGTCTTCTTTTCTATTTCTACCTCTAGGTATTAAGTTTCTCAAGGCCATCTTCTTATCTCATTCTACCTGCCTCCCTAGTGCAGTGGTTCTCAACTTTCTGGCCCTTTAAATACAGTTCCTCATGTTGTGACCCAACCATAAAATTACTTTCATTGCTACTTCATAACTGTAATATTGCTACTGTTATGAATCGTAATGTAAATCCTATCTAATAAAAGACAAAAAGGGTAATTAACCGTACCTCCGCTATGCTTCTCATTGGCTAATCAGGGCAATGTGCCAATTAACCGCAACAAAATGGCGGTTAATTTGCATATGCAGGCTCCAAGCAGTGGAGGGAAGCCAAACAGCCTCGAAGCTGCTGAGCAGCAAGGCCTCACCACGCCGGGATCAGCTGAGCAGTGAGGCCTCCCTGCCCGGCATCAGGTAGAGCCTTGATGCCTCACGCCCTGGGATCAGTGGAGCTGCAAGGCCTCCCGGCACCGGGATCAGCAGAGCCTTGAGGCCTCCTGACCCCGGGATCAGTAGAGCCGCGAGGCCTCAGGGCCCTGGTGTCAAGCAGAGCTGCGAAACCTCCCGTCCTGGGATCACCAGATCCATGAGGCC